CTACAGTGCCAAGTTATGTTTTTACTATTCTTTAGCATTATTAAGCAGCTTTGACCCATCATGAAACTTTGATTCTGCATATTCCTTTGAGTACTTGTCCCAGTATGATAGCAAATTCTTCCCCAATTCGGGTGTCTAACTTTTAATAAGGCTCCTCTTCCACTTCGCTTGCATTTGATGCCAAGTTTTCAGTGATCCATCATATATATATAAAATCAAGTATCTTTCTGTCCATCTTTATAAAGGGGATAGCCATTTTTCTGTATTTTCCCAGTAATTAACACACTGTGTTTGACATTTTTTAAAAACTCATTCTAGTGATCTTGTATCTTTATAAGACATAGATGCCATACTCTGCACTAATATACCAGAAATCTAAATACATGAAATGAGCTTCTTAGTATTCTGTCAAGTGTTTTAGTAGATGTTTATTGTAGCTGAAAATTAGGGATGGACAGTATTTACTCCATACAGAAACAATGCTTCCCATGGCTTTAGGACACCCTCCATGTCCAAGTTGCCAGTGGTTTTGCTCCATTTTTTTGCATTAAAAGAAATCTGGAATTTTGTATGGCTTTGCTTCTGGGTTTGTTGCAGGGTCTTGTATTGCTGCTATGATGTCACTTTTATTGAATGTTTCACCATTAAAGGTTCTAAAGTGTTTTTATTCGGATCTATTATTATTGTCTCTCTTGTAGGCACACTAAAAACTTTCTGTTTCGTTTTGAGGAATATGGCGTTGTTGAATAAGGTGTTAGCATAGGAATAGAAATATATATATATATTTTTTTTAAAGCTTAATGTTGTCTTTTTGTGGAGTATGACTAACAGAAATGATGTTGGGCATATTATTCTTTTAAATGCAGGGAATTCATCACTAAAAAGTGGTCTGATTCTGTTTGAACTTGTCATTTTGTTTCTACATTTTTTACAACATAAGAAGTAAATTGTTATTTTTACTAGAAGTCACACCTTCTTTTAACCTTTATTTATTTTTCATTGTTATAAATTGTTTGTGGTACTTACCAGAAGAAAGATACTGTAGTTTTATAATTATACAAAATTGAGAAACATTATAGTTGACTTTGTTCAATAATTACCTTTCTCTTTTTGCAGATTTAAAATGCAGAGAAGAACTTTTGAAACTATGATACTCAGCAAAAATATCCTGCTAAGGAGTCTTGCTTGGCAACGATATCAGGCCATAAGAACTCTTTACAATTCAGGGTAAGTAATCCTGTAGAGTATATTAGTTACATTTTATAGACAGTTTTAATACCTAAGAACTGCAATTCTTTTCACCTTGTCTGTCTCTCTCTGTATGCTGAAAGGGCCTGATTTTTAGATGGTTTTAGATATATAACTAATAAAATGACAATGATGTACCTGGAGATACAGCTGTGTTATGTACTAGCATGGTGTGTGGAGGAGGAATGTTGAAGGGAGAATGATTCAGGGTATGGGTGGATGATATTTGCCCTATAGTATTAGAATTACTGCTGCATACTCACTACATTCCATTTTCTACTCTGGAAGGGGTAATGTAGACTGGCTTAGGGAGAGGAGGCTTTACAAGGGAAATGGTGGTAAGAGGATGATAAAGGTTCTGTTGAAGGAAGCTTGCCAAAGAGCACCAGATGTATTTGTGGACACTGCACATCTCATAAAGACTTTGGTGGAAAATAGAAACTCATGTTGTTGATAGCCCATGCATAATCCTGATGAATAGGATTTGGCATGTTTTGATGGTAGTAAATATAACTTTGAAAGAAAGTGCTGTAATTTATAGTCATGCAAGAGTAGAATCAATGTCTCCTAAAAAGTGCTATTATAGATAGCAGCATTATTAAATGTTGCCAAAACTATTTACTATCTACAGACTGGATTGAAAAAAAACTAGTTAAAGAATAAAAATGACACCAGAATTATATATTGTTTGTTTTGTAAGCCATGTTAACTTCCATGTTAACAAGCATACTTACTTTTTCCAGCAGTGTGATGCAGAACCACTATGAACTTCTTGGCCTCAAGAGAGACAGTACCCCAGAAGAAATAAGGGAGTCATTTATTCGTCTATCAAAGGAGGTATTTAATGATGATAATTAATCCTTATAATTTAGTTTTAATTTCATTTGTTACAATGGATATTCTTTGCTGTGACATGCTGTCTGTTTGCTTCTAAATTATCCTACGTGCAAGGATAGGCTGGGGTTACCAAGTGGTCTTTATTAGATGTATCTGATTTCACCTGTTTACCCTATTTTCCTTGAGTGTTTGTAAACAAGGTTTTTATTGTTATTACTATTATTATTGTTGATAGCATTATAGATAGAATGAAGTTGATGATGAGAATAATAGTTACAGAAATGAAAATTTCTTTCCTGACTCCATGGTGATAAAGTGCTTGTGAAGCCATTTGTGTAGACCAAATTAATGAAATAGTGGATAGTGCATACTGTACTGTGTGCAAATTAGTTTAAAACTGGTTTTACATACATGTTTACTTACTATTTATTGAAAATCCTCTACCTCCTATTCATTGCTTTCTCTTCCTATGCTTCCTCCTCATATTCCTTTTTTTCTCTTCCTATGCTTCCTCTTCATGTTCTTCCTTTTCCTTACCTTCATCTCCTTTCCCTCTTCCTCCACCTTCTTTTCCAATCTCTCCTACTTTTCCTTCATCTTCTACTTCTTTTTCTTCTTCTCCTTCTTCTTCCCCTTGTCATTGTCTTTGTCCTCCTCCTCCTTCTCTTCCTCCTCATACTCCTCCTCTTCTTCTCCTTCTTCTTTTCCTCCTTCTTCTTCTTTTTTTTTTTTCTTCTTCTTCTTCTTCTTCTTCTTCTTCTTCTTCTTCTTCTTCTTCTTCTTCTTCTTCTTCTTCTTCTTCTTCTTCTTCTTCTTCCTTCTCTCTTTCTTCTCTCCTCCTCCTCCTTTTTCTTCCTCCTCTTTCTTTCTCCTCCTACTCTCCTCCTTCTTCCTCCTCCTCCTCTTCTTCTTCTCCTCTTCTTCTTCTTCCTCTCCTCTTTCTTCTTCCTCCTCCTCCTTCTTCATTTTCTCTCCTCCTCCTCCTCTTCTTCTTCTCCTCCTCTTCCTCCTCCTCCTCCTTCCTTCTTCCTCCTCCTCCTCCTCCTTCTTCTTCTTCTTCTTCTTCTTCTTCTTCTTCTTCTTCTTCTTTCTTCTTCTTCTTCTTCTTCTTCTTCTTCTTCTTCTTCTTCTTCTTCTTCTTCTTCTTCCTTCTCCTCCTCCTCCTCTCCTCCTCTCCTCCTGTCCTCCTCTTCCTCCTTGTTCTTGTTCTTGTTCATGTTGTTCTTCAGGTAGGATGGGTTGATTCTTTATTACCCTGCGGATAATAAACAATGTCCATTAGCAACTTCTGTTCAGGAGGGTTATGTTTCTTTTTCCTTTGCAGTATCATCCAGATACAAACCCAGATTCTACTAAACTCCACACAAAGTTTGTTGCTGTGAATGAAGCGTACTCTGTTCTCAGTAAGCCTAACTTACGCCAGGTTTACGATGCAGAGTTGGCAAACAAAGAGAGACAAGACATGTACAACTATGGTGGTATCAAAACTAATGCACCACAAGAGAGAGTGTAAGTGTGGACATTTCTTGTTTTCATTATAAATAGTGTTGTCTGAGTATGTGGTATATGTCACTAGGTAGCACTATATAGACAGGAAGTTTGATCATATAGATTTATTGGCTGTCCATATTTTCTGATTTTCCAAAAAAAAATTGTGCAATTATTTAGATATATTATGGATTTTAGGAATTTGTTAGATTATTTAACTAGAAATACTTAGCTTAGAGGGAATATGAATTCGCTTTTATGTTTTTTTTTGTTTCCTCATAAATATTTTACAGTCCAAGTGAGTTTTAGTTTGTTTTTTCTGTCTTATTTAAAAACTTTCACCATTAAAGCCACCTTTCCTTTCACTAGGATATTCCATGATGATTCCCTCTGGGAGATGCGTGATCGGAGTGAAGATCAGAAATATGCACATCACCCATATTATGGCATTCGAGGCATTAAGAAGAAGCTTCCGAATTCCTACATTGCTGCTGGTGCTGTGGTGTTCATGATCGTTGGTGCTATCTTCCACTTCTTTCTTGCCAAGTAGGTTGGAGTGATTTTGTTAATAGTCTATTTTTATTTATTTATTTTTTTATCCTCTCTCAAAAAGATTATGTACCTGATGAGTTAGCAAGAGGAAGTATTTTGTAAACATAATCATTATCTCAATGCCTAGGATTGTACCCATTGACATAATTTTTGCTTCAAGATGTAAGATTTAATTCATTGTGCAACTGTACCTGTTTCTTCCTGTCCTCTCAGAAAATCCTCCGACTTTGCTATTGAGCAGTTGAATCGCCGAGACCAGATAGCCAGCAGAAACCACATGATGGCGAGGGAACAGGCAAAGCTCAATGGCAATGAACTTCAGTTAACTCTCTTACGGCAGAGAATAGAAGAAGCAAACAATAGTAAATGAGATGTAAAGCAAAGCGATCATGAAATGGATGAATTTAGTAATGTATACTATAACATGCGAGTAGATTTGTATATTCATTTTTTAGTCAACGTCTATAACTTGTTTGCTTCTCATTTGTGTTTTATAGCCTGAAAACTTCTAGTCAGATTAGCTGGAAGACATTCATATCTGTGAAAGAATATACAGTTATACAGTTGTGCAAATTTTTGTGAAAATCTGAAAATTATAAGGATACTTAGATTTAGTAATTATTATTTGAAACTTTGAGGACAATCCATAGTTAAATACATGTTTTATGAACTAATGAATACAAGAAGTTCTTATTACAATGCGCTTTATAAAGTGTTTAGGCTGTATTGAAAGAAAATAAGTGAGATAAAGTGTCCTCACAATATGTCTGAAAAATCCAAGTGTGCACGCACACACAACAACACACACACACACACACACACACACACACACACACACACACACACACACACACACACACACACACACACACACA